GCCCTAGTGCCTGTAAATTTAATGGTCCAATTAAGGTAATTTCCTCACTTTCTAAAAAAAACCCCGTAAAACCATAATCATTATATTATTAATTAAAAATTCTATTTGTTTATCTTGGGCAATAATATCAAATTTCATACTGGAGTAGGGGAATCAAATTTATCTTTAAGGATTTAAATAGTAAACCGTTATGAACTGAGGATAAAATGTTTGAGTTTTACGACAATAAAAATTAAACCAGTTAATTCCTCTTCTTGCTCACAAAGATGACATTTGACTACAGTGAATTTAAATTTGGAGCATATGAATTGACTTATTGATATATTTATGTGGAATAGCAAATTAAAGATATTTGGTTTTCAATGCATGGATATCATTTTTAGAGTATTCTTTTAAAAGGGAAAGTATCTAAATTGGATTAGGATTTAAGATACTGACATTTTTCTCAAACATATGTTTTTGCATTTGTGTTGTGTATTTTTAAGTTTAGGAACTTGAATATTACTAAGGCAACCTTGAACTAAATTGATCAACATTTTAGGGATATAATTTTTAAATTGTCCCTATTCCTGGGTAGACAATTAGGCTTTATATTTATTGTTTAAATCATCTAGTGACAATAACTCCATCACTTCTCACTGCTGCTCTGGGTGTTACTAACATTTTTGAGGAGCTTCAACAGCAGTACCATATCAGATTTATAGTCCCACTCCAGAGATATTAGAATCCGGTCCTGAAGCTGATGTGTTTCTGTCATCAATTTATGATTCATAACTTCCAGCTTTTACCTTGTTTACCTCTTCTGCTGCCTGGGTGTTGACCGATCATGATAAAAATGGTCTAATTTTGTCTGTAAGTAATATCCAGTTCCCCATAAAATAAACTCACGTGTCATAATATTCCACCAAAGGTAATTTTTTAGCCATGAAAAGTATGAATCCAGGGGTGAAAAAACATAGTCCGTCTCCGTAAGAAAGTCTGGCATTTCAGATCTTCTACGTAGCATGGACCTGTTTACCAAAAGGTCTGCTACAAACATCAATCATAACTTCCACCCTAACTATCAAATTACTTTAGAAAAACACCTCTTCGTAAAATAAAATGCCACCCTGCGCTCACACGTTTCCCCATAAAGAGTAAAGAAGGCATTTTTTGCTTATTTAGTTCCACGTTATCTTTAAATTGTCCTAAGGTGTGCACCCCCCTTTGAAAAATCCTGGATCCGCAATCCGTGTATCATTCGTTCTTTCTATTTTCAATTGCCAATCAAAAAACAAAAAATAAAAAATTGACTGGTTATTTTGTTTTTTGTTTTTTATGGTTTAACCAAAAACGAAAAAAGGATTGGGTTTTCATATATCAATTCTAAGCTCAGATCAAGAATACGAAATGGAAAAACGGACAGCAACGCAGAATTTGATTTTAATATTTAATCGGTACAGTTTACGTGACCCGGAAATAGCTCTCTGCGCGGCAGTTGGGGTAATAAAGTGGCTACCATGGCGAAGCTAGAACCACACACTATGTTGATCGAGAAGCTTTTTGCCAGCGGTTTGACACACGCCGAAATTTCAAGCTCATTGCAGCAGATGGGTATCAAGGAATGCTCTAAGATGAGCGTCAGAAGATTCTGTGCTCTCCATGGTCTGAGGAGAAAAGGGTCTGTTTCAGACGCAGAGCTAGATAGCGCTCTGATCCAATCTATATATGAGGTAAGTTGTCTTTCAGATTTCATTATGATAATCGGCCAGACCTCCACTGTATATTTTAAGTATTATATCTATATAATACACCGACAGTAAATTTGTAATTCTGTGACAGACGGGACCATCATATGGCAGGAAGTTCATGACCGGCTATCTGTCTTCACTGGGGCTGCATGCGGGAGAGGGTCGGGTTGGAAAACACCTAAGACAGCTCCATCAGCCATACCATGAACTCCGACGTCAGGTAATTCTTGTGCTTTAAAAAGTACAGATTTGGTAATGATAGGCCTAACGTTTGAAATTTATAATGCTACTGAGGTCGGGATCAATCGTGCCAGGATCTCCCACCTCTCACTCAAAGTTTTCTTCTTGGAAAAAGGTTGATTACATTGATGACGCTACAGTTCAAAAAGCCTCCTTTAATTTCCCATCTCTTTTTTTAAAGAAGGCATCATTTTAGATTAATAAACGTGCATGTTTCTTCTTATTTTGAAATGTGCGGACTCAGTGAAGCGTGGAGTGATTTCAGCAGATCGTGATGCAAGTTGAGCTATGAGCGGAGTCAAGGAAAGCTGAGGGGCTGCATCCTTCAAAAGGACCCGCTCCTGGGTCCTTCGTCCACTCACCCTTACCTTGGCGTTACTCATGTTGCCTAGCAACCGGGACAGCGAAGCAGCTTAGATGCCAAACACATTGAGCCCCAAGATTAATCTCGTTGTATCCATTTTAAATAA